TTTGAAAAAATAATTAAAGAAAATGTCCCTAATTTGGTGAAGGAAATAGACATGCAAGTCCAAGAAACACATAGAGTCCCAAACGAGATGGATGCAAGACACATCATAATGAAAACGACAAAAGTTGAAGGTACAGAAAGAATCTTAAATGAGGCAAGAGAAACAGTTACCTACAGAGGTGTTCCAATAAGACTGTTAGCTGATTCTAAAAGAAACTTTGCACGCTAGAAGGGACTGTCAAGAAATATTCAAAGTTATGAGAAGCAGGGACCTACAGGCAAGATTGCTCTACCCAATAAAGCTATCACTTAGAATTGAAGGGCCAATAAAGTGCTTTCCCGACAAGAACAAACTGGTGATGATGGTCCTCATTATCACCAAACCATTATTATGTGAAATGTTAAAGGGACTAATTTAAGAAAAAGATCAAAACTATGAACAATAAAATGGCAATAAATACATGTATATCAATGAGTAAATCTAAAAAAAAAACTAAGCAAACAGAATAACAGAGACAGAATCATGAATATAGTGTTTTGATGGTTGCCAGATGGGAGAGGGATGCTGGGGAATGAGTGAGGGGAGTAAGAAGTACAAGTAGGTAGTTACAGAATAGCCATGGGGATGTACAGTACAGTATAGGAAATGGAGTAGCCAAGGAACTTATACACATGACCCATGGACATGAACAATGGTGGGGGGACTGCCTGAGGGAGTGGGGGTTGCTGGGTGGAGGGGGATAAAAGGGGAAAAACTGGGACAACTGTAACAGCACAATCAATAATTAAAATAAAAGGAATTTAGGTAGCTAATGAATCAATGTTATAATCTATGTTTAATGTATATAGTTTAACTAAATTGTATTTCAATAATTAAGCTCTGAGTACTACATAAATTATAAAGTATACTATAGTACCATTATAATCTCTTCAGGTTTCAAGCTGTGAGATATCACCAGAGAGCCTTGGCATAATAAGTTACCCTTCTAAGGTCCTTCTAAGTTAAGAAATGTCCGTGACCACAGTCTATGAGAGAAATGCCTTTAAGGAATCTTATGCAAGAGCATGTTAGGATGTGGCAACACACACACAAATATTTTAACATTCTTGTGCTTTGTCACAGTAAAGACTTTATCAAAATCTAGGATGAAAGGAGAGGGGGCTTCATATATTTATTTATTGTGCTATTTACACACCCAAACACTGTGCTTTGTATTTTTCATATATTACCTAATTTAATCCTCACAACTCTAGAAAGTATTATAATCTTATTTCTACAGACTGGGAAACTAGATCTCAGAGAAATGGGATGGTTTATTTAAGATCATATAGTTTATAACACACAAACCTGGAACTTGAACCCAAGAGTGTCTGATTTAAAACCACTGGACTTTCCTTTATGCCATATTGCTATCACTCAAAACATTTAGAGTAAAAGCACTCTTTAGCTTCCCAGAAATGTCCTTAGCAAACCAAGTCACTCACTCACTACTTGTCCACTCTGTGTCTAAAACTGCTGGGCTCTATTCACCTATCCATCCAATCACCACCTATCCATCGCTAAATAGATATGAGGTGCCTGCTATGTACCAGGCATTATGCTAGGCACTGGGGACACAATGATGAGTGAAAAAGATGTCCTCAAGTCGTTTGGCATAGAGGAAAGAGTCAGCAAAGATTGTCATACAAATAAACATAAAATTAAGTCTGTGCGTGGAACCACTGCGCTGTCTAACAGGGGTGTCGGACTCAGTCTGGAAGGTCGAGGAAGGTTTCTCTGGGGAAATGATGACTGCGTAGAGATCTGGAGAGTAAGTGAAATTACTTCGGTGAAGAAGATTTCTGTAGATTGAGGGAACACTATATACAAAGATGCTGTGGTGAGAGAACGCACTGCTTGTCTGAAGACATGGAAGAAGGGCCGTGTGCATGTAACAGAGAGAGCAAAGTGAGGCACCACAGTGCTCGGTGGGGGAAAGACTCCCTTGAGGGAGGAACAGCCAGGCTGCACTGGGCTTGCAGGCCATGTAAAGGAGTTTGACTTTTATCCTAAGAGCAGAGGGAGGCCACTGAATGTTTTTAAGAAGGGAGGTAACAGGATCAGATTTACATTTTCTAAAAGCACATGCTGAAATGGGGGGAACTAACTCAGAGGAGGAAAAAAACAGTACAGAAAGATCAGTCAGATTTCCTCACTGGTGCAGCTCAGTGGACTGAGTGTGGGCTGCAAACCAAAGGGTTGCCGGTTCAATTCCCAGTGAAGGCACATGCCTGGGTTGCAGGATGGATCCCCAGTAGGGGGAGCTTGAGAGGCAACCACACAGTGTTTCTCTCCCTCTTTCTCCTTCCCTTCCCCTCTTTCTAAAAAAATAAATAAATATGAAAAAAAAAAAAAGATCAGTCAGGAGGCTACTGAAGTAGTTCCGGCAAGAGATGATGCCGTCTTAGTCTAAAAAGGTTAAGAGTGGAAATGAAGAGAAGTGGATAGATTTGAGATACATTTAGGAGTATAAAAATGACAGAACTTAAAATAACGAATAGGGAAAGCGAGAGATGAATATTTCAAAAATTAGTTACAGGCTCATACAATGAAATGGACAGAGAATACTGAAAGATCAAACTTGGTGGGAGGACGGGAGAAGAGTAGCAACCCTAGGGTCGGTTTTGGGTGTTAAGTTTGGGATGCTTCTGAGACATGTAGACAGCAACATGAATCCAGAGCTCAGGGGAGAAGTCTGGATTAGAAATGTAAATTTCTGAGTTATCTGAAAAGAAACAGTAAACCGTGGATAGAGATGAAATCACTCATGGAGAGAAAAGAACACAGATGGAGTCTTGAGGAATCTCAATGTCTAATGATTAGTGGAAGAGGATGAACCTGTAGAGGAGACTAAGAAAGTGCAGAGAGGTGAAGTAAGCCTGCTGGATTCAATGACATGACTATTATTACGGACTTTAGAAAGCACTGCTAGAACGTGGTGTGACGGGTGGAAGTCACGTTCGAGAGGTGGGGCAATGAGCTGTAGGGGCCATGGTGGTTATTAAAAACTCATTCGTCAAATTGAAAAAACTAAGAATTTCATTTGAGAAAGCAAAACTCATGCAGAAGCTACAAAAAATAGACATAAATCTACCAGTTTTACTAACTCTTTAAATGTTATAGAAATCTAGAAAAGGGAGGATCACGGTGACTGGGTAACACAGGATAAGTCTTTACAGAGAAGGAAAGCCTTAAGCAGGTTAAGAAGTACAAAACTGAATCAAGAAAAGTGCTCAATCTAGGAAAATTACATGAGAAGACGACATGGTATATGTGGGTGGGTAGTGGGGAGATGGGAGGTGGTGGGAGTGGGATGTGGTGGAGTAATAAAAAGGCCAAGAGATACATGGCCCTCTGTTTTGTGATGTTAGCTTAATATTGAATTATTTAGGATTGTATAACCTATGCCCTAGTCTCTCTTATTTTTTGCTGCCAACCTGTTGGCCAATTCATTTCTCAAAATCAATGACACCAGAGGCTTATTAGGGAAAGAAAAAATAGGAAATCATAAATCAATTGTGTTGTTCATTTGATTTGGATAATGCTGCGTGCAAGGTGGGAATAAATAAAATCAATGGCTAAAATGTAACTTGGTATTTGTGATTATGAGGCAGTGAGACAGAGTGGAAAAGAACAGGGGCTTCAGCCCTGACCGATGTGGCTCAGTTGGTTGGGCATCATCCTGCAAAGTGAAAGATGGCCAGTTTGATTCCTGGTTAGGGGACATGCCTGGGTTTCAGTCCAGTCCCAGTAGGGGTGTGTGCGAAAGGCAACTGATCAGTGTATCTCTCGCACACTGATATTTCTTCCCTTCTCTTTCTCCCTCCCTCCCCTGTCAAACAAACAAACAAACAAACAAACAAACCATAGACTTCAGAGCCAGAGGCAGTCAGGTTTGAATACTAACTCCTCACTACGTTTATAGCCTTGGGATGTGCAATTAATGTCTTTGCATCTCTAACACAGGAGAAAGATTAAGTTTCTTGGCAAGGTGTTTCAGGACTTAGAGATGAAATGGTAACTCTTGCCTCACAGGAATCTCCTAATTGTTGGCTACTACTTTTTAGTAATACTGTAAGAGAAAACAGGAAATACGTGCGAAGAGATAACCTTGTATGCCCTGAGATGGGGATGTTTTATTTACTAGCAGGTCCTGATCTACATTTTTCTGCTGGTGTTTATATAAAGACAAGTGGAAATACCAAATAGCAAAGTTTAGTTTTGGAACTGTTTCTGAGCTAAACATATTTGTATCATAGGCTTTTATAATTAATGATATTAAGTATATAACTATTCAGTACATATTTAAAGAGTCAGATATATTCTTATTTCATACACTGATAATTTTGTAAAGTAGCAAAGAATAGAAAAAAAGTAAACCAGAAGAATTAAAAAAAGCAACTAAAGTTAGGGGTGAAAAAAAAAACCTAGAGGATAAAAAAGGCTAAAGAGAGCAGGGAGAGAGAGAAAGAGACAGAAGAAGAGAGAGAAAGAAGGGACAGAAGAGAGCTGGCAGGAGAATCTGCCCAGACTGCTTCTATCCCCTGGGGTGCCCTCCCCTCACTGTTTCTATCTGACAGCCTCCGGCTCTGCTGGGCCAGCTCTTCCTTTCTCCTGCCCGCCACACTCTGCCCACTGCCCCCTCTGCAGTCTCCCATCCAGTACTTAACCGGACAGCACACCTGGTTTTGCTATACAGTGCTCTAGGCTACTTCCCCTCAGTTATAAAAAGCAAAGCAAAACAAAACATAACATACCTACATTTGCATCTGCTAAACTAAGGACACCTCTGTCTTAGAAATGAGGAAAATTTAGAGATGCCTTTGAGAAGATTTATCATTTTAAGAGATGTAAAGTGATGAATTTAATTTAAGAAAGTATACTAAAGGATAAAATTAAGTCAAGGGAAAAACCCAGACCCTGAAATGACTAACCCCGATTTATTTAGTGCCTTTCCTTACTGTGTGCTGAGGCCCATCTTCATTATCTCTCATGTAGAACGGCTTGAGTGCTAATGGGTAATTAATGACAAAGACTGGTACATTGCCACAGTGCTTCACCAGGTACTTTTCATGTTCAGTGTGTAGATCGACACCCCACTGCAAGAGGAGAAAAGAGATCATCAAAGGAGAAGACAGCTGAAATATACAATGCCGGACCTGAAAATAACCTGTATCAGTTCTCTCCCTGAAGATCAATAATGTGTGGAGCTGTCTCCTGAGGTTCCACAGACAGCTAAACTAGACAGAGGTATGTGTTAGCAAGAACATCCAAAGGCCTGGAAAGATGAAAGCTAAAACTAGTAGATAAGCACTATGTTCTCTGCCACCCATCTCAGGGAGCAGCGTTTAGCAGATGAATAGCATCTTCAGGAAAATGAAGTGCACCTTCCCCAGTGTATAAAAACTGACTTTAGACTCATAGTTTTTATTAATATTGCCTAGAGCTTCTTCTACAGTTTCTGTTTATAAGTCTCAGGAAATTAAATGATGAAAGATAATATTTCTAATATTGAGTCCATCTTTGGCTAGATGGCTTCTCTCAGTGATTTTTTAAAAAATAAGAGTCAGCTGATATATCTATCAGATGCTCTCTGATGAATATTTAATAACACTGTTGATCTATTTATTCAGCAAATACTAATGTGCCTATTAAATCTTAGGTACCATGGTAGGTATTAGATACAGTGGTAAGAAAAACAGAATCCTTGACTTCATAAAGCTTCCAAAGGATGAAACAAACATCAAATACAAAATTATACAAAGAAATTAACTGATTACAAATATAACAAGCACAGGGCACTATTATAAGAGGATCTGACTTAATTGGGGTTGGGACTGATGTAAGAAACAGTTTGAAGACGAAGGTACTACATTCTAAATGTTAACATACTGCTCCCATCTGTCTGGCAATATCTTAATTATACGGAGAAAGTAACTGCACAGGAATGAGGAGACTTGCCTCCAACATTATGTGCATGGTCACTGATGAATCATGTGACCTCTCTGGACCTATATCTTTGCCAATAAAATAAGGGAGTGCTTCAAGTAAAAACCCAAATAATTCAGTATTTTCCAAAGTGGACCATAAATTAGAACACTATAAAGTTCAACAGAAAAAGAAACCTGTTTAGTGTGTTGTTTAAACTCACTTGATCACTTAACCTCCTGTCACCTGTCAGCCCCTCTCAGACTATACTTTGGGAAACACTGAGCGAGTTGATTTCTACACTAACAGGCTATGACTGCCATTCTTTTTAAGGATTTTCATCTTGCTGAACTTGGGAAACTTCTTTATAACCCTTTAGTTGATGTTCTAGCAAATGATATATTCTACTTCAAAATTATATTTCATTTTAAATATTTCAACAAGGTTGAACACACACTGAAAAAAGCCAATGTACAGATAAGCAAATCCTGCTAATAAGAGAAATAAGATTATTTTAAATAAGATAAGGATGAGGAAAACATATTTACACACACACACACACACACACACACACACACACACACACACTACCTCTGGGGTGAAGGTGAAGTTCTGGGACGCCTGCTTTAAGATCTCCACTGCTTCAGTGTAAGAAATGCTGGAGAGAAACGGTAAAAGCAGAGAAAGGTCAATATAATGGGCTATGTGCTTGGCACTCTTCTAGGCACTGCAGATACAGTAAATAAGAACAAAGATCCTGCCTCTATGGAGATGTTCGCATGTGTGCGTGTGCGTGTGTGTGAGTGATGGGGGTACAGGTGGGGAGAGAGAAACAAATAAACAGAAATATGTAATATATGATGCCAGGGAGCTTATTGGTGTTATGAAGAAAAATAAAGCAAGATGAGAAAACAGAGGATGATTGAGGGTGCTGTTTCAGAAAAGATGGTCAAGAAGGCCTCACCAAGTTGGCAATATCTGAACAGTAACCTGAATGAAGGCAAAGAGTCACATAAGTATCTGCAGGCAAGTATCCCAGGTGAAAGGAACAGTGGGTACAAAGGCCTGAAAAGGAGGCCTGAGTCTGCTTATTCAAGGAACAAAAAGGTCAATGTGACCATAGCATACTGAACAAGGGGAAGAATGCCCGGAAATTAGATAGGAAAGGTAGTCACAGGTCAGATCCTATGAACTCCTTCAGGCCATGTAAGGGCTTTTTAATGTACTCTAAGCACTGTTTAGAACAGTTAGGGAAAACTGCCATTGGTTACCTCAGTAAGAAACCCTCATGCCTAAAGCAAGCCAAGCCAAAAATTTCTACAAACTATTTGAATAAATAATATATGGACATCGTTTTAAAAAATCAAGATGTATAAAAGAGTATATACCTTCTTTCCATTCTGTCCCATAGCTACCTAGTTAGTTCCTCTCCTTATACATTCGCTGTCAGTGTTTTGAGTGCCCTTCCAGAGGTTTTATACGTCTATAAGCAAATATTAATATATAATCTCCCTGTCTTAAAATAGATGGTAGCCACAGAGTATACCATACATTTTTTAAATCTTTATTCAGTAATATAACTTGCAGATCTTTCCACATCAGTGTATGAAATGCTTCATTTTTTGAACTGTTACATGTATCTGAATTAGTTTTAACCAGTCATCTACTGATGGGTACTTCAGCCATTTCCAATCTTTTGCAATTATAAACCATTACTACATATATTTATTTTATACTCTTACAAATGATTCTTATATACTAGTTTTGCAAATAAAAAATGAAATTGTTGGATCTTCGGCAGTATCTTTTAAAACATATAAAACTGCAAATGCAAATACGCTTTCACAGGGCTATACTGATTTGTATCCACCAATGACACATAATAATGCCAGTTTCTCTAAGTCTTCTGCAACCGTGCTTCGGGTGATTAAAAACAAAAATCCACAAAGTCCCAAAAGAACTTTGAGCTCAAACTATAACTTACCCAACACAAACTTATTCTCTGAAAAAAAATGAAGCTCATGCTATAATAACTGGAAAGAGCTGTATCTTATAGCACAAATAAAGTCCCCAAAGCTATGTTTTGAGTGGTAAGTTTTTTCTAACATGAAATTTCTACTCAAATTAAAAATCTAATATTGAATAACAGGTAATTTCTAAAGTAAGAATGGTGTTGGTAGTAGTAGTAATTTTTAAACCACCATTTTACAGAAGGGAAGTTGAAGCTCAGAGAGGACCCATTAACTTGCCAAAAATGGCTCGTCTAAGTAAGTAGTGAACCCGGCTGTGCTGACTCCGGAGTCTAAGCTCTCAATGGAGATCATGCCTCAACCACTTGGAGTTTCATCTGTTCAATTAAAACAAAAGATTTGGGTTTTCCCTCTCACTCTACCACCACTTACCAGCTATGTAAATCACTTCACTTTAATGGAAGCATTTTATAAACTTTTTGTAATGTGCTATAACACATTAAAAAATTAAGTATTGTCACTTGTAAAAAAGGAGGTTGGATTATATTACCTAACGTTCTTTCTGCTTAGACATTCCATTGTTCTAGTCCATCATTACTTGATATGATCTATTCATTACACAGAGAAATATAAGAGCAATCAAAAAGGATTTTGTACCATTAATATGTTACTGTTACATTATTAAGAAAAATGACTCTCATGTCCAAATGTCTCTTGTTATTCTGATATTCTGTCCTCTTCCTTCCACACCTTAAATTGAGGCAGAGCTTTCAAGTTCAAATTACAGGTCTGATACTGGATATTCCTAATGGCCTTCATCAACTCTCTCTACTAATTTTTGTTGATATATATATATAGAGACTATTTCTTCTCCTTCCTAGAAACTACCTCCAAAGTGCTCTGAGGAAAGAATTTGAGAAGACACTGTAAGATAGCATGATACAGTATCAAAATACCTTCATGTTTCAAATTTTTAATTGTTGAATGAAGAAAGTTACTATGAAGTTGTTGGAGTAAGACTGCTATGCTAAAGAGATCACTGTTAGTATTCTTTGCCTCATATTCACAGAGACAAACAAAGAGCAAGTAAAAAGGTAAGGACTCTATATTTTAAAAGCCTCCATACCATAGCAGGGGTGTCCAACCTTCTGGCATCTCTGGGCCACACTAAAAGAAGAGTTGTCTTGGGCTACACGTTAAATATGCTGCGACATATAATCAATCACGCACAAAAAAATCTCATAATGTTTTAACTAAATTTATGGTTTTGTGTTGAGCTGCAAATGCAGCCATCTTGGGTTGCATGCGGCCCGTGGGCTGCAGGTTGGACACCCCCAGAAGGAAATGGAAAGTAAATAAATTCTATTTTTGCTTGATAAAGCTAAATTCAATTACTACACAAATCTTTTAAGTAATATATATTTATATGAAACAACTATAACAAGTAGTCAAGAATACACTGAAATTTATTGAAAAGACTATAGTCACATGATGTTTTACGTGTGTGTGTTTCAGGAAGTATCTCAATTCTAATTCATCATGCCTAGGTTTACTGTCATGTCCTCTCCTGGCTGTTAAAATCTCTGGTCTCAAAGACTGACCAACGTGCCCACCCTCACCCCCTGATCGCCACCACCTTGAGAATCCTCAGTATCATGTCATTTTGTATATTCCTCTGGTGTTTAGGTCCCTATTCATTTCTAGCTCCTGGGACTTCTAGGGAACTCAACAAGGTATTTTAAAAAATAAAATAATTTTATAATATTTTAACTAGTGTTTTCAGATGGTTTGTAGCAGGAGTGTTTCCCAGTTATCTGCCACACTGCTTCAGCAATGGGCATTTGGACCCTTCACCAATATAAGACAGACAAATGGTCCCTTTATAGATGAGAAAACTGAAGTTCAGAAAGGTTAAAATTTACTATTAATCAGGCTCATAGTTGTAACTAAATAATTATTCATGTGACTACTGGGCTATTTATATTTTTCCCTAGACTTTAAATTCCATAGCAGGACCGATCCATGCCTATTTTCACTACTGAATCCTCAATGACTGGCACAGTGCCTAACTCAAAGTAGGCAGTCAATATGTATCCACTGAAAAATATTAGTCCATTCATTAATGGCTAAAAAGTGGCAGAGGCAGGATTAGAATCCACTATACTCAGTGTCTAAAGTAAACAGGGATAGGAATTAACGGGGACCTTAGGGAGAGGACCTAGTCTACAGGAGAACACCCTCAACCCCATGGTCACTCAGTTGTCATTTATTAGTTCCCTCAGTTATTCAATAGGTATTTACTGAGTTCTTAAGCACTGAGGGCACAATAGCAAACAATATAAACAAGCTTCTGACCACATGGAGGTGACAGACACCAAACAGTAACCACACACATAGATTTAAAACTCAACTACGATTTGTGCTGTGTGGAATGGGTGATGGTAACAGCACAGCCCATGAGGTCATTTCCCCAACTTCAGTATTTTACAGACTCACAGCACAACAGTTAAGTGATACATAAGCGTCTTAAAGATAGTGGGTGAGCTACAACTACTCTAGCATTAATTTTAATGCCCTTTCAAATATAGGCAGTACAGTGGCTTAAAGATGAGCTTTGAAATCAGACATACGAGTTTGAATCTCCATTTCATCTTTTCTTTGCCTCATCTGAGTTGATTCATCCATAGAATGGCAATAACTACTACTCACAGACTTGTGAAGATAATATGAACTACTAATGTGTGCAAAGTTTATCAATGGCTCACAGTAAATATTCAATAAATGGTGGCTATGTTTTCCCCCCCACCTAAGGTCTAATTTCTTAGGTAGGAGCTACATTACTTAAGATGTTCTCCCTGGTTTTCTGTCACCAGCACAGATTTCTAGATGCCCAAATTACTTCTTTCCTTATCTACTTAATTACTACTTTTATCAATTTGCTTATGTCCAGAGCTCTCCTATAAACTCCAGATCTGGACATTCAAACTGCCTTCCCAGCCTCTATAACTAGATGTCTGAAAAGCTTCTCAATCTTAAAAAGGTACCTGATACCATCCCCTCTCTTCCCCAACCCCCTGCTACTCTCATGGCTTCCCCAACCTCAGTTCACAGCAATTCCATTTTTACAGCCATATAGGACAAAAGCTTTGAAGTCACCCATTACTCTTTCTCCTTCTCACTCTCAGCAGACCCTGTTTGCTCTATCTTTAAAATATATCCAGAACAGAACAACTCTCTACCTCCATTACAACTACCCTGGTCTGTGATGGTTAATTTTCTGTACAAATTTGGCTGGGCTATGGTATCCAGATATTCAATAAAATGTTATTCAGGATGTTTCTGTAAGGGTGTTTTTTGAACGAGATTAAAATTTAAATCCATGGACTCTGAGTAAAGCATACTGCCCTCTACAATGTGGGTAGGCTGCATCTAATCTGTTGGAGGTCCTAACAGAACAAATATTGGCCTCCTCTCCACAAGAAGGAATTCTGCCAGCAGACTGCCTTTGGACTCTAACTGTCACTCTTTCCTGGGCCTCCAGCCTGCTGGACTACTCTATCAGATCTGGAACTCGTCAAGCCTCCACAATTGCGTGTACTAATTCCTTAAATAAATCTTTTTATATATACACCTTGCTGGTCTTGTTTCTCTGGAGAACCCTAATACATGGTCCATCCATGTTGTCTCAAATGGCAAGATCCATTTCTTTTTCATGGCTGTGTAATATTCCAGTATGTTATCAATCTAGTTGGTTTTCTGTTCTTACACATGTTCTACTACAGTTTATTCTCAAAAAGCAGCAAAAGTGATCCTGTTAAGTCCAATTCAGATTTTGTCAGCCCTCTGCAGGGAACCCTTCAATGGCTTCCCCATCTGATCCAAGTACAAACCCAAATTCCTCACGGTGACTTACAAGGCTGCAAGTGATTTTTCCATCCATGCCTCGTCTCGTACTTTACCTTCTTTCTGTATTCACTCTTCGCTATTACTAGAACACATCAGGTATGCTCCAACCTTAGGGCCTTTATACTTGCTATTCCCTCTGCCTGGAATGGTCTTTTCCCAGATATCTACACAGCTAGTTCTTTCACTTTCTTTAGATCTTTACTCAAAAATCATCTCAGTGAAATCTTCCTTGCTACGATTTCTAAAATTTCTACCTCTTCATTCTTTTCTTGTCGTCTCTTGTGTACTTTCTCTTCCCTGAGTTTTCTTCTCCTTAATATTCATTCTCACAGACTACATGTTTCACTTCTTTTCTTTCTTCACTATTGCTACGTCCACCAGAAATGTAAGCTCAGTGAAGGCAATGGATTCCATCTGTTTGGTCACTGCTTTAACACAGTTTTTATGGCCCTGGCCCTTAAGTAAGGAGGTTGTGGCATTGGCAGGTTCTAGGTGATATGAGCTCCCAACAGGATGGTCCAGTTTGTTTGCAACAACAGTCCGGCGAAGACGGTCCACGTGAGGTGCAGCACTGATGACACCATCAGTGACCTCAGGAAATTGACTGCAGGCCAAATTGGTTCACACTGGAATGAGGTCGTGCTAAAGAAGTGGTATGCAGTTTTTAAGGACCATGTTTCTCTGGGAACTATGAAATCCACCAGAGGATGAACCTGGAGCTTTACTATCAAGAGGGCAGGATTCCTTCCCCTTGTCCTGCCTGCCCCTCCCCTCTTCTCCCACCCTCACCCACCACACTGGTATGGACGCTTGTTTTCAAAAAGTCATGTTAATAAAAACTTGGAAGCAGGGAAAAAAAGAGTTTTCTTCTAGAACAATGCCTGGCACATAGTAAATATTCAATATAAATTTAAGTGAAAGAAAAAACCTCAAAGCCTTCACTTATACTTCACTGTCTTTCGATTCTCTATCTGGTGGCTGCTGACTCTTCCCTCCTCTTCTGACTCCACCTCTGCTGCCCTGCTGTTTATTCATTCAGGCTCCACAATCATCACTTTCAACTTGTAACCCGAGGGTCTAGGCTGACACCTGAAATTCTCAGCTCCATCAACTGTCAAGTTTCTTCCTTTTCCTCAACTCTGTCAATCTGCCAAGTTTTTCCTTTCCCTCCTCAAGGACAGGTTGAAATCTTTATTAGAACAAAATTTCCTAAACCTAAAAATTACAACTGAACAATGACATCAACTTATTTTCAGACACAATTTTCTACTCTACTAGTATCAAACTTAATTCCTATACACAATATAAATACACTGAATACTAAGTCCAATATGACTGTCTGCTTATATGATTGGTAAAATAAACAACTAGTCCAGTATCAAGTACTACTTGAATAGAATTATACTGGAAATGAAGCAATAATATATGTATTATGCTTTTTTAAAAAGTGGCAAAAAGTTTGGGATATATTATCACATTTTAGCAAGTAAAGGTAAAGAAGAAAAAGAAAGAAGACTGATACAGAGAATAACTGAGAGGTAGACATTACATGCATGTATTTTAAGTTTGTTTTTTAATAAGCCACATTTTGATCACTAAAGTTAGTATGAGTTTGAATGGCATTAATACAGTTAATAACATCTATGTTCATTTATCTAGCTGTAATTTATTCATTTATTGATTCATGAACCTTTGGTTGTTGACTATGAACCAGACATGAGAACTATAAAAATAATTAAAACATGGGTCTTTCTTGAGTCTAGGGAGTGTAAAAAGCAGATACATAAACAAAAAAAAATTAATATAGTATGATAAATATGATTACAAAGTATGAATGAAGTTCAGAAAAAGTATATCTACTTACATTAAAAAGTTGTTTTTCAGCATATGTTCTAATCTGTCCTTGTAAGAAAAGATAAAGAAAATTTATTATTGAATGTAATTATTTCATTATATTAATTAACATATTTGAAGAGTAGATGTATTGGGCTTTATCCACAAAACTAATTACCTTTTGGCCAGGAGCCATGAATTTGTGACAGAGCTCAACATCTTCAGGACAATTTGAGAGAACCATCATTGTTGCAGACTTGAAGAGCCCCTCCATAACCTATGAGAAGTAACACAGAATTGCCTGACATGAGAGCTACTTCAGATGAAAAATCTGTTTAGGGTATTGTAAGGATTGCTTCCCAGGTTTTAGCAACTATAAATCCATTAGGCCTCTTGATCCTGAATGTACTACAGCAAGTTCAGTTTTTCAGACTGATTAGAAGAGGAACTGCAACTTCTCAGAGTGGGTCAAAAGAGAAAGAAAAATGTTTAAATCCTTTGTTAACAGTTTCAATACTAATAGTGAAGTTGGATGAAAAATAAACAGTTAAAACGGATTGATGCCTTTCTAAATTTCAGTGTACTCAATTGTAGAACCATAACAACAGCACCTAGCTTGCAGGACTGTTGTGAGAGTTAAATGAGATAATCCGTGTAGAGGACTTAGCTCTGTACCTGGCCCATGGAAGCACACCACAAACACTACTTGTGAAGAGTGAGACACTTTCAAAAGTGTTCATTCCATCATTGGTAAATGGAATTAAATTTTAAAATTAGAGAGGCAATGAGGTATTATCTATATCTAACTATATACACTTTTGCTTTGCCAAAGCATATAGTAAAAATAACACATACCAGCTTACAGAGTGGGCAAAAGTAGGTTTACAGTTGTAAGTGAAACACAGAATTCTTGTATTATCATTTATTAATTAGTGTATTATTTTCCACATGAACTGTAAAACTACTTCTGCTCATCCCGTATAAGAATTCATTCTACTAGAAGTGTCCATAGAAATCTCATGGGAAAAACTTGTTTATAAAAGAAAAAAGTGATTGAAATGGAAAATTTCTAAAATATTGTTAACCAAAACTAAAATGTTTGGTTTGAAGTCAGTAAAACCCTATGAGGCCCTCCAAACGTTGTACTCATAAAGACCCGGAGAATTCTCAAGCACAGGAGCCGTACAGGCAGGTGTCTTCCTTTCCTTTCTGGCATTGAGGGAGAACCCTATGGAAGCTGCAAACACAGTGGGCACCAGCATCTACTGAAGTAATTTAATATGACCGGATATAAGAAAGTACTTGATTACCAAGTGACAACCAGATATATGTTTATATATTTTTATATTTATAAACATTTTTCATTTTTATATTTGAACCTATATATAGTATTCAGACGTAAAAAATAATTGGATGGAAGGAGAACAAAAGGAAGCTGAAGATTTTTTACCTTGAGGCTGCATCACCTTCAATCTAGCAGTGAGATAAAGAAATCACTAAGTAAATGAATGATTTATGAAGAGCCATACCTCCAGTCACTAAAAAGAACAATGCATACTGGGAGAAAAAAAGAACAGAAGGGTTGGACGGTACACCTGAACTGCTGAGGGACACAACACACCTATCTGTAGGGTGAAGACTTTGACCACTGGAGTCGTTAAATCAGTGTCTTTTATAAGCAGTCGACTTCCATTTGAAAAAGTAAATCATTGGCTTCTCTAACCCTGACTTTCAGACTATGCTCTATAAATATATCTGAAGGAAAAATAAACTTAACTGAAGGATTAGCGTACCCCTCAGATGTTTTTAAAAGTATATTACTCAATGGCACTAAAATAGTAATATTTAATTGCTATACCTCATGAGGGAAAATTCCTTTGTTATAATATTCTAATTTAATATTTAAGAGACTGCTCTTCATCAAGATAATAATTTCCACAGAATGTAACTTATAAGGGGAGAAAATTTAAGAGCAGCAGGAGACCACTTTTGGGTTGAGCATACTTTTTTCATTTATTTTTAAGAGAAAAGCTTATATTTTAATTAATTAAATCATTCACCAGTATATGCTGAGTCCCACTGAGCGGGGTACCAAGTACATAAGAATTATTTAATTACAGAATATATAATTATAGAGCAAAGATTATAACATTTAATAAATTCTGACATAACTGATATATTGTTTTTGTAAGCTTTCCCTCTGGAATCTATGTTGGGGCACTGGAGACAGGGTCAAGGCAGAACGAACAGGGAGATAAAAAGTATGGTTTTGTTCCTTATGACACTCTCACTGCCTGAGTGAAAGAATAATACAGAATTGGGTTGTGGGATCAAACTGAAAGCAGCTTAAGGAATTTTAATGACTCCATGTGAGGCTCAGATTGGAATCCCTACAATCTAGCAAAGGGTTACTGAACAGTGTTACAACTGACATTTTTGGCCAGAAAATTCTTTGTTTGGGGGAGCAGGCTGTGCATTGTAGGACACTCAACAGCATCCTTAGACTTTACCCACTAGATGCCATTAGCAAATACTCTTCCCCACTCTCTAGCAGGGGCAACCAAAAGTGGCCCCTGGGGAACATTGAGCTACAGCAATAGAAGATGTTAAAGGGGCGTGGAAGTGGATGCTATGGTGTATGGCCAGAACACCCGTCAGGACCAAGAGCTTTCTCTGCTGGGCATGTTCCCTACTGATGGTTCATGGTCGACTCCCTCTTCAGGAACAGACCAGGCCAAGAGTGCTATCTCACCCATGGTTACGCCTCTTCCCAAGGCTAGCTGATGTCCAATGACTGGTTGACGGCAGGAAGCACAAATGCCCACCCCTACACCCTCATATGGGATAGCTCTGAAGGACCATTTCAGCTCCAAAGTTCCTCAGAGAAGTAGCTAAGGCCTCTGCTTGTAAAGGCATCACTGCTCACCTTTTCCCTCTGCCCAGTGCTGCTTTCATCCTTTCCCCACAGGTGTTGTTCTCTAGAGCATTTCCCAATAATCCCCCATATGCTAATCTCTGCTTTTGAGTTTGTTTACTAGGAAACCCAACCTAAGATGGGATAATAAAATAGTGAGTCCATTTTGTTTGATGGTATATTTGATGTTAAGATTTTAAGTGGAATTGGGTCATTTACTGGGTAGATGAGAAGGGTATGTAGATGAATAGAAGAACTGATAAAAATTGCTAAAATAAACATCTTGTAATTATAAATCCAAACTAAGATGCTAATCAAAATGGTACTGAATTGAGAATTCATAATAACAACAGTTAATAATTTCTGGGTACTTATTAAGTGCTATGAACTATGCTAAATGCCTTATATATATAATCTGTCTGATCTTTGTAACTACCCTATTGAAGTAGGAATTGTCATTCCCATTTTATAGGTAAGGAAACTGAGGTGCAGAGAAATTAAGTCCCTCATCTAAGGCACACAGCAAGTAACTGATGGAGTTGAGAATCAAACCCTGGTCCACTCAACTCCAGAGTCTGTGTGCTCTATCTGGATTATGGCCACAGCCTCCTAGAAGGGCTCCCGCTCCTATTTTTATCACCCTCTAAATCATTCTTCATGTTGCTGCTAGAGAGATTTTTCTAAAATATAACTCTGACCATGGCCTTTCCCACTGAGAACTCCTTCTCCTTTACCTTTTGGATTAAATTCAAACCCCTTAGCATGGTATTTAAATATAAAGTCTTTCTATGATCAGACTCTTGACTACCTGTCCAGCCTTATTCCTTGCCCCCTAAACAAACTCTGCAGCACCTGTGGATGCATTCTAATATAGCTATATAGAAGGTTCTCTAAGCATAAAGATGTTCTGTTTTATTCATTTGCCTATGAAATAATAAGAGCTACTATTGATTGAGACTGCTATGTGCCTCACCTTGTACTAGAGGTGCTTTCCAGTATATACACTGTTTTTTTTTTTACTCCTCACAATAACTATGAAATAGGTACTATTATTCTCATTGTACAGTTGAGGAAGCTGAAGACCACCAAGGTTAGGTAACATCATAACAAGTTACTGGCAGGCCTGGGATATGAACTTAAATCTATCCGGCTAAAAATGCACTAAAGGCATTCATGAGATGTTTATTAAATTAAGTAGTTATCTTTTTCATTCTATGAATACCTCTAATGCACAGATATAAAAATGTATACAGAGGCACTTTCATGTCATAGATGCCTGACATTTAGAAACTATTTTAAAACTTGTGTACCTACCTGCATAAGATCTTGAAGGCTCTCAACGAAAGAAATCTCTGCTTCTACCATATAGAACTCGGCCAGGTGTCTCCGGCTCTGAGAATTCTCTGCTCGGAATGTTGGGCCAAAGGTAAACACTTGAGTAAAAGCTCTGCAATTCAAGATTAAGAGTATAAAAATAGGATTCACATGATTAATTTCAAGATTTTAAAATACTCATGGGCTCCTAATGAAACCAAAAAAAAAAAAGTTTTGTGCCTCTGTCTTGTCCACATATCCACAAATATTAGCCGCTGTATTTCTCTAATGGATGATAATAATAGTTTCATTAAAAATATTACATTTATAGAAACAATTTTATCCTGAAGGAATTTGCAAATGCTTTACAAACCCTATGGCTCACTAAATATAGAATTGTCACTCCACTGCAGCTGCCTTAAACAGCAGCAACCACATTTCACAGCAATCAAGAACAAAGTAAAGGAAAAACACCACAGCCCAAGACGCCACACAGAGAATCTAGATAGAGGCAGTTAAAACTAGAATTTCATCTGGATAAAGTGTGCTAATTAGCCCTGGCTGGTGTGGCTCAGTGGCTGAGTGCTGGCCCGAGAACCAAAGGGTTGCTAGTTCAATTCCCAGTCAGGGCAAATGCCCGGGTTGCAGGCCAGGTCCCCAGTAGGGGGCGAGTGAGAGGCAACCACACATTGATGTTTCTCTCCCTCTCTTTCTCCCTCCCTTCCCCTCTCTTTAAAAATAAACAAAATCTTTAAAAACAAAGGTGTGCTAATTATTTTTTAGATATGTGAAAAAAAAGAAGAATATCAGATATGTAAGGTGATAATTTGCCTTGTTTAAAGCCTGCCCAAGTCCTTCACAACTGCCCAACTGTTTCAATTACTGCTGAATGACCACTCAAATTTGGGGGTAAGGGAATACCTGTCTACTTAATTCTCTGGTTTTCAAAAAGAACTATAGCTCAACAATCTAAACATGAAAACAGTATTTTTAAATTCCTACACAAGTAACACTACCTCATTCTTTGACACTTACAATCAGTCCCCTCATACAAAAACAGGGCAACAACTGAGATTAGATCAAACGATACGAAGTAATGAATATTTCTTGAGGACCAGCTAATATTTGAATTTTAAGGTTTTGCTAGAGCAAAAAAAAGAGGTCTGGGGTTCTTCAGCTATTATCCTTAGCATTCTTTACTTGCCTGTCATCAGTGAAATAACACTATGATGAGAAAACGTAGTGCAGAAAATGGACAGACTGTGAATATACATACCAGTTCTTGTCTTTCTTTTTTAAGTAGAGATACTCTGGGAAATGAGATAGTAAAACAATCATAGTGGAAATCAAAAGATTTTGTTTTTTTTCTTTCAAGAGGCCATATCAGTTAAGGCCTACTTGGTAAGAAGCTGAGGAATTTATGTTTTGATTCTACAGCCACCTTCCTGAGACCATAATCAGTTGACCTGTGAGGACCTTAGCTTCTAATGGAAAAACAAACAGTAATAACTCAAGAATATTACTATGGTAATCTCCCTCCCAAGATTCAGATCCAGACTCACCAACTAGAATGTCCCTGAAAACACTGAACCTACCTTGTGAAAAAGAAAACTCTTGCCATGCTTCCCCAAATAAAAAACAAAAATAGTGAACAATCCTGCTTTTGTTTTTACATTTCCCCCAATTCTGCTAATCACAATTAATCCACTGAGTCACCCAAACCACATCTCCCCTCCCCCACCTCTTCCCCAGTGCCCACATTTCCCATATCATTCTGAGCACAAAATTACATTGTTTACACCTAGAAAAGCTCTCTGAAATCTAGAGACTTTATCTCCACAGATACTGTCTTAGTGTAAATAAACTCTTGTGTTTTGCTTGGAAAACTACAACAGTTCTTTAACTGGTGCCTGCCACCTGTCTTTCTTCCTGCAGCCCCAAACTGCTATGATTACATACAGACCTGATTATATCAGCCCTCATTTAAAAATCCCCACTGTTCAAGGGTGAAATTTCCAACTGTTCAAAGGATGAAATTCAAACTCCTGACTCTGACTCAACTTCTTTCACAAAGCTTTTTCTCCAGGGGCAATGAAGACATTCTCCTTACACTGCGTGCCCCTGCACAATGCAAGACTTCTGCGTAGGTTGTGCCCTGCTCTCTAATGCCCACCGTTGCTCCTTTCTCTCCACATGGCAAATTCCACTGCACAATGCAGTATGAAGGTGATGTTTTGTTGAACTGTACATGTTAAACATGTACGGTTTTGTTAACTAATGTCACTCCAATAAATGCGATAATTAGTAAATAAACAAACAAAAAAAGAAATGTATAGTAATAAAGAAAAAAACCCAAAACCAAAAAAAAAGGGGGGGGCAAATTCTCATCTAACCTTTAAGGCTTGGTTCAAATGTCACTTTCTCTTTGTAACTTTGCCATACAGCCCCAAATTTATTGTATCCTCTTTTATATGATAATACTTTATTCATATATTTATTATACAGAACATAGCACTCTGACATTATTCATTTCAGTATCTTTCTCCCCCAATAAACTATGAAACTTTCCAGAACAGGAATCATGTTTTATTCATGCTTGCATCTCCAGTGCCTAAGACGAAACAGATGCTCAAGCTGAATGAATGAGCACTAACGATGATGACAGGCTTCCTCACTTGTAAACTGGAAAAGCCCAGCATCCTTGCAAATAGCAACATTACAGATATGTGCAGAAAAATACTCAAATATACAGGGTGGGGCAAAAGCCAGTTTACCGCTGTGAGTACATCAAACATGGTTTATTCTGGTGTTATTTTCCATATGAACCACTGTAAACCTACTTTTGCCCCGCCCTGTATTTTACTGTGCCTGTTACCCAGTACCCAAAATGGGTCCAACAATCTAGGCTGGTCCCAAACAACAAATTCAAAACTAAAAAGGCCTCGCATTTTCAATCTATGACTGTGCAATCTCTAGGTAGATTGTCACCAGTATATCTAAATAAATAAAATGACATTTGTTTCTGGTACTGCATCACAAAAAATTGTGTATACAGAGGCACACTAACAATAAAAAATATTTTATTGAGGTTTTTCAGAGTGTAAGTAGAAATGAGGTAAACTCGGTAAATTTACTTTGGGGGCTGTTAGGGAGATTCACAAGAAATGGGCAGTTTCTGAAATACAGGGGAGGCCAAGTGATGGCTGCCCAAAAGAAACATGTTATTTGTCTTATACCAGGTACAAAGAAACAGTGGTGTCTCAAAGAACCACAAACGCAAGTCATGAGGGCATCTGCTTCTCACATGGCAATTCTGTGTAGGGTGCTCTAAAAAGAGTAGTGATAGGTATATTTTACAAAACAACAGTTAATAATTTCCCCTAGCAATGCAGGGCAAGCTCTTTAGTGTAAAATATAGAAGAGGATCAGGGATTTTATTTTAATTATGGTAAAGATCACGCTCTAATTGAGGTACCCAAGAGTTAAGTATTATTCTACTTGGATAAATGATGGCCATAGTACTTGCTCTGAATTAACAGAAAGATCAAGTGAGCTGGAAGCTATGTTGAAAAATTGCCTAAGTCAGCATCCAGCTTTAAGCAGACAAATGTTTAAATGATAAGCGTCACCCATGTCAGTGCCCTGTGTTCTATCAGACAAGCAGTGACAGTAGCAGTAGTGGCAGTGACAGTGCCTGCCATTAGCAAGTGCTCCTTGTGGGCCAGGCATTAGATGGAAGAACCTTACAGTCAACTCCTTTATACTGAGCTCAATAAACTATGTATTATTATTTCTATTTTCAGGCTAAGAAATGAAAGTCCAGAGAGGTTAAGAAGCTTTCCCAGAAGTCATAGAATCATAGTCTAATAAGTGATAGAGGTCAATTCAAATCCAGATCTGACTCTAATGGTCACAGGTTAATGAGGACATTAACATAACGATGCTCCTAACTGAACACTGGCAGCCCCCCTTCTCCAAGATAACTAGGGTAAGTAGTTTGGTATATTTTCCTTCCTTATGAATAGCTTATTTGTTTTATATGTTAAAATTACAACTGTCTAGGATATATTGCCTTCATGTAAATAATGAGAATGATAAATTTTCATCAATACTTTGTAACCTTTAGCAAGCCATTTAGTCTTTGTGGTCCTGAAATTCTTCCATAAGTGAAAGAGGTGAGCAATTTGGCATTAATTTCTAGTATCTTTGCAATGATTTTTGTCTCTAGGTCCATGTGAGATTTCTCTTATTTTAATTTATGTTGATTTAAATTTTTTTTTCTCTGTCTTCCACAGACATGAAAGCCATTTGCAGCAAGGCTTGGATGAGCCAACATTTAAAATAAAATCTGAGAACAAGCCTATTTCTAAAATAAGATACAAAACCAGGTGAAAGGCCAGTATTGCTGTGAGAAGAAACCAGCAGAAAAAGAAACACTCAGCACTACAAAGCATTCTTGTGCCAAATTATGGAGCGAGGAAAGCTATATAAGGAACGTCCATGAGCTTGGAGTCAATGTTTAAGATAACAAAAGTACACTCAATACACACCAACCAAGGCAGCTACAAAAATGGCTTTTTAAAAATAAAAAGTAGTTAACTAAAAAGGGTTCTTCAAAGGTAATTTTCTCTCTTGTGTGGAGATTTATGAGGCCCTAAATTGGCAAGTGGAATACTATGAAATGGTCACTGATTGCCTAGCCATTTTTTCTTTCTGCCCTGCAATTTAAGAGCTGATCTTTGTATTTTGAAAGAAAGAGGAATTATTTTTCTTTAGCTGGGGAAGAACCTAATCAGCATAAGGCGGATCAGCAACTTTTCCTCAGGCCTCCAACTTCCAGCCTCCTATCACTTCTCTACTGTCAGTTCAGTCAAGTTCACAAAACTCTAGTGAACTCATAGACAGCTTTAAAATGGCTATACTTCTGATTTTTTAAAAAGAAGAGACAAAGGGAGAGAAAGGTAGAGAGGGAAGAAAGAAGGGGGAGGAAGGGAGGGAGGGAGGGAGAGAGGAGAGAGAGAAATATTGACTTGTTCCACTTATTTATGCATTCATTGGTTGTTCCTTGTATGTGCCCTGACCAGGGACCGAACCTGCAACCTTGAGGTATCGGGACAATGCTCCAACCAACTA